GTACGGGTACGCTAGCCTAAGCGTTATCCTTATAATGAGTTTTTTTAAGTGTTCGTTACTTTTACTTTTATACTTTAAGTAGTTTTAAAACCAGTACTTTTATACATTTACTTGAGTAAAAAGCTTGAATTGAAACTTCTACTTCCAAAAAAGTATTTTTAAACCTTAGTATCTACTTCTACTTAAGTAATGAATGTGAATACTTTTGCCACCCCTGCTTACACTACATGGAAATATGTAAAACAGAGGTGGTCAGGCCAGAGAGGGAACAAAACTGAATCTAAGTATATATTTCAGTCTGTATAAAAAGATGGTTTGTTTTCAGTTCCTTTATTTTTTTCTTTTGACGAGTCCCTGATATCTATCTCAGATGTTTGCTGTTTACAGCACCCAGTGTTTCAGATCCTGTAATTCAATTTTGAGCTGCCACTCAATTTGTTATTGACAAAACAGATCAGTGAGGTGTGTTTGTCTTTAGTCTCATCCTGCATGGTGATATAACACATTAATGCTGATCATAGCGCCTGTGAAGTAACTGCTGACTGACTGAGGCCTGTTTTGGAAGCTGATTGGCTGGCACACGGGGCAGCTCGGTGCGTGACCAACCGAGAGGCCGACTGATTTGCCTGCATTCCTCGGCGGACAACAGCAGGGTACAGACTGACTCGGTGTGATAATCCCTCCGCTGATGGGACCMCTAATCAGCTCTGTTTTTAAGCTGAAAATGGGCCCAACAAATACAGAGAGCCAATCCTCACACGCTGAAGGAATTCACGGGCACTGGTGCACGAAAACGCTCCCCGTGACTCCCACTAAACTTCAACATCTTTATAATGAAAGATGTGTCGGTCAAGATTAAACAGCTTTGCTTCCCACACAGAGGATGGAGAATCATTGTCCCGGGAGGCAGGAAGATGTTTCGGAARCCACACAGAGAAATTCTTTAGAATAAGCATGCAAACGTTACGAGTCAGGGGAGTTCACCCTACATGACATTTCTGAAGCCAGAAATCATAAAAAGCTGTTTTACCAATCCACAGGAGCTAAAACGTGAACAATGGGCTTTTAGAGTGTTGCTGTAGCAGCTAGTAATGTGAACGTGGACTCTTTTGCCTTATTTCCTCTGAATGTTAAACTAACAAACAATTTGTAMCACTGATGGAATGATAAAGTCATCRCATTGAGCTGAAGCAAATGATTCGATTTTCCATAATGTCTAATTGAGCTGTTTTATTGCGCAATCCTTGCATCTTGCAGGATTGTCTACTCAWCCATTTTCAGTTTAGTTTTCAGATACTGGTCACGATGGCAGCAGATGAAGGAGAGAAGCCCAGACATCCCTCTCCACTAACAACAGTCTCCATCTGATCCTGGGGTGGGTGGTTGGGAGGGTTCTGAATGCTTTTCCAGCCAAAAAAAAAAAGATGTTTAATCACTTTGGCAGGTTCTGGTTCTTCCCCAAGCTCACCGAGGAGGTACCCAAAACAAGCCCCTCTGGATTGTCTGTTACTTGACACGTCTGTACGGGGGCATTGCTCATCATCAGCATCTGGTGTTGACAAAAACAAAGACGGTCACAAAGGAGGCAGTGTGTGAGACGACTGAACAGTGAMTGGCCTAAATGATCTACTCAGATGAAACGCCACGCTGTGGTAAAGCTAACCCTCGGAGGAATGAATGAGTCAAAGAGCTAAACTCATTATCTGATAGCAGATGTTTAGATGTTAAATGCCCATCAGAAAAGGAGCCAAGAATCTGCTTCATGTCCATTTATCACTCCCACCTACCCCCCACTGTGCCATAGATGGCATTCAGTGATGTCATGTTGAGCCTTGGACCAAAGAGGTTAACATGATCACTAGGGGTGTAAGAAAATATTGATACACTGAAATATCGCGATATTTCATTTCCCGATACTGTATCAATATTCTAAAGCCCTGTATCAATTTTTTT